CCGAGAGGGACACTGGAGGGAGGCCAGTGACTCAGAGGCCCGGCCAGAGGGGACGGGGCCAAGGCCGACAGGGGGACAGGGCCGGGCAGATGCCCCCCACCCCTGCCGCCTCCCCACCCTGACTGTTCCTTCCTGCACAAACACGGGCTTTGTTGGCCAAACAAATCTGGGCGGAGTCCTGGGCTGGGACACCCCGATCTAAATCATTCCACATTTTTCCCTCCTCCCGCTGGATCTTGGCAGTCTGGCTCGAACGTGAGCAGCTACATCCTCCCTCACAGGGCGGGGGGGGGGGACGGGGAGGGGGGAGGGGGGTGCAGAGCTCCCCCGCCCCCCCCAGAGCGGAAAAATAAAGTGTTCCTCGGCGTCTTTCCTTGTGTTCTCTCTCTCTCCCTCTCTTTCCTATCATGGCCAACCCCATCACATGTCCCAGGCAATTTTTTTTTTTTTTTTAAGGAAAACAAGTCTTTCGAGACAGAGGTGACCCCGGTGGTGATAAGTGACCGAGTTCACCTGAGAGTGTTATCAGCTCTCCATAGCTGCCCGGGCCTCAGATTTCTCATTTCGATGAGGAGGCCGGGGAAATTGGATGCAACCTGACATCCCCCCTCTGATGAGCTTCCTGGAGCCCAGCCCGCAAGGGCAAGTGCAGGGAGGGAGGTGGGGTGCGCTGGGGGGGGGGTCCCCCCCCCCCCCCTCCCCCCCCCTCCCCTCCCCTCCCTCTCCTCCCCTCCCCGGGGCTGGCCGTGAAGGATTTTCCCCTGTGACTTTGTCTGTTCGCTTCCTCCTCTTCCTGAGGTTTTGTGCCGGCCCGGACATCACCCCCCTCGCTCAGTTTTAGCCGGGACCTTCCTGGGTGAGGATGAGACGCCCGCTCCGGCCAGCTCAGCCACCAGAACAATCCGTACGGTGGACCCGCCACTTCTTCTGGGCTCAGAGGCCTTCCATCCATTCCCTCTCTTCAATCTTTCAGCATCACATTTGGGGTCGGCAAAGTCCTGCCGTAAGGGGCCAGAGAGGACCTGTTTGCAGCTCTGGTGGCCAGCAGGTCTCCGTCGCAGCCCTGGACAACACGTAAATAAACGTGTGGCTGTGCTCCAAGGAACTTTATGGACAGACGTGGGCCGTGGGTGGGATTCGGCCCGCGAGCTGTGGTTTGCAACCCCCCCCGGGGTCTCAGCCGCCTGGCTACTCAAGGTGAAGCCCACGGACCCGCGACATCAGTGAGCCCAGGGAGCCTGTTAGAAACGCAGAATCTCAGGCGCCTCCCTAGACCCCCTGTGTCAGAGCCTTTAACACAGTCCCCTGCAGGGGGTGTGCGGGGGGGGGGGGGGGGGGGCGCGCAGGGGAGCCTGAGAAGGGCCGGCCTGTGCATATGGTGGCTCACTCTCTTTCCCGTAGGAGGTGCCGCGTTGTCTCGCCGATGAGGAAGCCGAGGCTCACAGAGAGGCCAGGTGCCCAAGGTCATGGGCCAGGATTGTGCCAAGTTCAGAGGCTTGACCTCCATGTCCTACGGGCATCAAACGGACACAGGTCTCTCAGAAATCCACACAGATGCCACCTCGGTCTGTATGGGGAGAACCCTCTTGCCCCCCCCCCCCCCCGCCACCATGTCCCCATCTCCGGCCAGGGGGGTGGCTTTTCCCGTCTGCCGGGGAGACGGTGCGGGGAATCTGTCACTTGCCTTGCTCTCTATCTGCCGGGGGCTTCTCTGCTGAGGGGAGGGGGTGCCGCAGAAGCCCAGGGCTTGCCCTCTGTCTGGCACCTGCACACCCCACTCCCCAGCTCCCTGTGTCCCCTCCCATCTTCTCCAGCCCTCGGCCCCTCTCCCTGAGAACTGCAGACGCTCGTTGATCCAGACGCTTGAAAACATGTGGTCAGAGCTGTGGACAAGGGATCCACAGTGCGTCACGCCTTGTCCCCCACCGGCTGGGTGTGGGATCCTCGATTCATTATCAGACCTCCCCTGGGCACACACCATGTGCCAGGCTCCGGGCCAGAAGCGGACGTGAACAAGAGGGCTCAGCGCTAAACCAGAAGGCGGGGGACCGAGGCCTGGCTGGGCGGAGAAGCCAACATCTCAGACCCACGGGGAGCCAGACAAAGGAGGCTGTGGGTAGCATGACTCAAGGAGAGCATTCCTGCACCTCCTGGAAGAGGCGGCTGTGGCACGAGGCGACATTCCAACAGGCAGCAGAGGGGGGAGACACCCTGCAGCATTTGAAGGGCCTGGAATGCCAAGAAGAAAAACCTGAAGGTCTTGGCATGAGCCTGACACCATGTGGGTCTGGGTCGGGGCCCTGCCTCTTGCAAGCTGGACGGCTTTGGGTCACAGTCAGCGCTCAATAAAGAATACTGCTGTTATGGCCGTTACTATTATGACAGTAGTATCACTGTTGTTGACAGTATTCTTCTGCTAGACTAACCACTGCAAGGGAATTGATGCCCCCATGTTTCTGCCAACTCGGAGCAGCTCAGTTTCCCTTATTCTAGAAAGGGAAACCAGATCAGAGAAATTACCTGTTCCTTATTTTATCCATCAGGATGAAGATTGACGGAGAAAGAAGTCAAATAACAGTGGCTTCAACAAGATTGATGGTTCTTTCTCACTGCCATAACAGAAGTCCAGGGGGAGGCAGTCCACTTTCGGTATACAACCTTTTCCTCATGGCCCAATATGGCTGCTTGAGCACCGGCCATCATGTTCACCTTGCGGCCAGCCAGAAGCAAGCAAGGAGGAAGAAGAGGCACAGGGGTACCTACCAGCTGTGTTTCAAACAGGTTTCCTTGCAGCTGTTCTCTGCTTACGTCTCAGTGACCAAAACTTAGTCACCCGGCTACACCTAGCTACAAGGGAGGTTGAGAAAGAGAGTCTTTATTTTGGAAGGTCACGAACCCGGTGAAAAATTGGGAGTTTCATTAGTAAGAAAGAACAAACACGTTCAGGGCAAGCAACTCCTGGTCTCCACTCCCCAATATTTTGGGGGTGGTCTCCCAGGGCAGCCTGGGACCCACCTACTAGAGGATTATCTTTGGAGGAACCCAGACCTGGTGAGGAGGAGCCCACACACACTTTCCCATAGTGCTCTGCAGCGTCCCTCCATCCTCAGGCTGCGGACAAGATGAAGGTTCAGAGCAAGGAGTCCCTCCAAGGGGTCATTCAGCTGGCCAGGGACAGCAGGTGGGTTCTGGGAGGCCACGCTCGGACCACTTCCCAACATAGCTCACCTTGAGCTGTTGAGAGTGTGTTCCTTCTCTTTCTGTCTTTCTTGTCTCCACCTTTTGTCTGTTCCTCTGGCTGTTTCTCTCTCCCCTCCACCTACAAACACACACACACACATATATATATATATATATATATATATATATATATTCATATACATATATGTATGCGTATATGTATACATGCATATGCATATGCGTGCACATACATACACATATACACGTACATGTACATATACATATACACATATATACATTTACATGTACACATACATATACACATGCGTATACATATACGCATATGTATACACATACATATACACCTACACGTACATATACATATGCATGTACATGTACACGTACATATACGCATACATATGCACATACATATATGTATACATATACATGCAAATGCATGCGCATGCACATACATACACATATACACACATACATGCACACGTACATATACGTAATACATGTACACGTACACATCCACATACATATACACGTACATGTATGTATACACATACACATACGTATACATACACACATACATGTACACGTACACATACACAGACATATACATGTACACGTACAAATACATATATGCATATGCATACACATACACATACATATACACGTACACGCATGTATACACGTACACGTACGTATACATACACACATACATGTACACATACATATACACATACACAGACATATACATGTACACATACACATACACATACACATACATATACACATATGAACACATGCATATACATGTACACATACATATACATATACGCATACATATACATGCACACATATGCACACATGTACATATACACACGAACATACGTGTGCATATACACGTGCACGTGTGCATACATGTGTGTGTATAATCGCATACATGCACATATACAAATACAGAAACATATACATGTACATATACACACATACATATACACGTATGCATACATATATATATACACATACACATACACACGTCTCTCTACGTATAGGTGTCTCTCCCTCTCCCTCCTTTCCTCCTCTCCTCTTGAAAAACAATTCAAAGCTTCACCTCGCCATGGCTTGCCCTTCCCATACAGGGCGCTCAGAATGAGCCCAGGCACCCCTGCTTACCCCTTCCCCAAGCAGGACCCCACCCATGGCCGTGTCCCCCAGTCCCCACCAAGGAAGCCCTGGTGCCGTGTGCTTGCGGCAGGGTGACAGGCACGCGGCAGCTCAGTAGTGGGCCAGGACTCTGCTGGAAGATGCTGGGAGCCGGATGTCTCTGAGCCCTGAGGAGCATGTCCGCACCTGCCCCAGGCATCTGGTGCTGTGCCGCCCTCCCTGCAGCCATCAGGGTCCTGTGCAGGCAAATATCTTTAGGACGCCAGCCTGGGGAGAAGGACGGTGGCCCTTGTAGACAGACATCACCGAACTTTGGCAACAGCCTGGTGTGTGCACGCAGATAACACCCCGGCTCACCAGCGAGGAACTAAGGTTTAGGGGCCACCTAGCCGGAGCCACTGTTTTGAACCCCAACAGACAGGAGCAAAGCCAGGATTTGAACCAGGGTGGCTCCAGGGTCCTGACTCTTAAGCAGGGTCCTCCCAGTCTCATCCCGGGGAGTTGCAGGGTCCTTGGATCCCAGCAGAGGCCCCGGGTGATCCTGACAGGGGTGACGGAAGCGGGGTAATTTTCACACCCCGAGGCATGCATGTGGACGCATGGCAGCACACACTCAGGGCACACACGCACGAGCGTGTGCACACACCTGCCCACTCACAGGCACACGCAAAGGCAGGTGCGGGCAGACACGCACGCACGCACAAGGATACCTACGCACGCACACACTATGTTCTCGGCGGGGACACGCCGTCTTTCTGACCGCAGTATGGGGCGGGGGACAGTTTCCAACCATTTCTTTCTGTCGCCTGCCCTGCGCTGGGGACTCGGTGGAGGGTGGAGGAGAGCAAAGGGCCCAGAACGAAGTCAGTCCCCGAGATCTGACTCCCTGATCCAACCGACACTCTTCAGACCCCCACGTGGAGGTCTCTGGAGGTCTTTTGGAGCCATCTGGCTCAGCCTCCACCTTACAGAACCTTCTCCTAAGCACAGCCTATGCGCTTGAATGCCCCCGGGGGTGGGGAGCTCACTACATTCCTGGGCGCCCACCCCGGAGCCAGGCAGTTCACAACATCAGAAGGTTCCTCTCTTGCCAGCCACGTGGCTTGAAGCCAGCCGCCTCATCTGTCCGTGCCTCAGTTTATACAACCGTGGGCAGGCTTCTCCTACCCACCACCAATCTGGCCTTGGCCACTGTGAGGCTCAAACGCCGTTGGGCACAGACAGCTCTTCCCCAAAGAGGCCAACACGTGAGAGTGCTTATTCTTCATCACGGCCTCGTCCAAAGCCAGCAAGCACTTTCCTGTCTGGAACACGGAGTTCCCACCACACAGAGGGGACAAGCAGGGGAGGGGCAGAGAGAAGGAGAGACAGAATCCCAAGCAGGCTCTGCGTCATCAGCGTGGAGCCCGATGCGGGGCTCGAACTCACAAACCAAGAGTTCATGACCTGAGCCCAGATCAAGAGTCGGATGCCCAAGCGACTGCGCCAGCCCGGCGCCCCCGTGATTGTCCGTCTCAAACAAACCATTCGATAGACAGGAAAGCAGAGGCCCAGAGAGGGCAAGTCACTTGGCCAAGGTCACACAGCCTGCAAGACCCAGACCGTGTCAACCCATCTCAACCCCCGTTTCAGGGAAAGGAGAGAACTTGATGAATCCACAGAGTCCCCCAGTACAGGGAACACGCCATCTCTGTCCTTCAACAACATACACCCAGCCCACTGGGTGCCGGGTTAACTCCTCCTTTTGCAAATGATCCCCGGCAGAAAACTCCTCCAGAGACAAGGAAAAATATTTCCCCCAAACCTATTTACTTTTCAAATTTCAGTTGCCATAACGACTCGGCACAACTATTTATGTGAAACCTTCCCCTTCCAAGTCTTGCCGAGCACCACACTCTGTGGAGAGGACAACTCAGCCCTTTCAATAACAACACATTTTTTCAATCAATTTGGGTCTGGGATTTTTTTTTTTCTATAAACACACATAAAATATGTTGTGCAAAACTCTTAAAAGCTAACAGGGAAATGCCGGGTTTTATCAACCTATTCCTCTCTAATTGCCCCCCATAGATGCTCTCTGAAGCATGCTAGTGACAGAAGTGGCCGGCCAGCTCGCTTTTGAAAAAAATTCCTTTGAATTATTCCCATTCCCGGTCATCTGGGGAGCGCCCCAAGTCGGCCGGGGTCCCGATGGAGCCCTGAGCGCTAGCTTCGGCTCAGGCTCTGCCCGTCACAGGCTGCGCGTCCTTGGAAAAGCCGGCGCGGGGCTCGGGCCCATAAAGGGTCGCATCTGGGCCATCTGGGCCCCCCGCCCAAAGTTGGGGGGGGAGGGTCCTTAAGGCAAGGGCTCCATCCGAGGCGTCCTGCAGATGTCCTGGGATATGGCAGCAAGGTTTGGGATGTTGGAGACGATCCCCCGTCTCAGATTTTCTGTTCCAGGCTCCATGGAAGCCTTCACATGAGCCGTTACCTTGGCCTGGAACCTTCTCCTGGTGCCTCTGCTGCCGTCTTGAAATCCTTCATCATTTTTGAACAAGAGGGCTCGCATTTTCATGATGCAGCTGGCCCCACGAATTCCACGGCCACTCGGGCCAGACCCTGTTCGGGCACACTGTGTATATCAAATCGTTTCATCCCAGACAAGGAGGGATCGGACGCAGGCACAGCTGTGATCTATGCTGTACGGGCAAGGAAACTGAGTCCCGAGAGGTCAAAGGCCATCACCGTCCCTAACAGGCCGTTACGTATTAGCTGTTCCAAGTGCTGTTCCAAGCACTTTTCCTGTCTTTGCTCATCTAATCCTCATGACGGCCATGTAAGATGGGAACTAGTATGATCTCTATTTTCCAGAGGTGCAGAGAGGTTAGGCAACTTGCTCAAGGTCACACAGCAAGTACGTGGAGGAGCCATGCTTTCCCGAGAGGCCCATTCAACCTCTCCCCTACATGCCTGCAGTACTTTCCTCACTAGGTCCTGGCCTCTGGGCTCACCTCTTCCAGCTCACCCTTAGCATGGTAACCAGAACTATCCA